TTATTATTATTATTATTATTATTTTATTTTGATTTGATAGTCTTCTTAAATAAAATTTTGCAATTGATAACTGTTTCGTTTTTACCAGAGAAAAAATAACATGTGGAAGAGACTATTGTTATATTTGCTTTATTTTTTCCCTCAGGTCTCACAGAAGTTATCACGTATCTGGAACCCCAGGAGTCGAAATGCAACATTATCCAGAGGCCACAGTATCCATGAGCGTCTGCGGAATTTTCACACCGAAGTGTGAAGTGTGCCGGCCTCCGACTGACAGCACCAAGAATGACACATTAACTCATTGAGAACTCGGAGTCTATCACTATCAGAACTGTTCATGACCAGCTGTGTAGAGTCACTTAAAAAAGAAGCATGACATCGTTATACGTCCAGGGTTTTCAATGCTAATCTCTTGTTCTGAAACTTAAGGGTGAAAGGGGGTGTACACCCCGAAAGTCCCGATTCGTGTAAAAAAATGGATTTTTAGAAGCAGGCATTTTGGCTTCTTCAGGCTCACTTACAACTATTTCATAGCATAAGAACCCCTAAAACCTTCATTTTTTTCATATATGAGGCATGTTAGTCACCACCATTTCCTCGTAAAGTCAATCTTTTATTTTTCTTTATTGCCCGTTTTTTTTTTTCAAATCGCGGTTTTTCTATACATTTTTTTTAACAGCTCCATAATTTTTTAAATTCCAAACTTCAGGAAATTTTCACAGAATAAGATAGATAAGGTCAGATAAGATACTTTATTATCCCAGAGGGAAATTTTCCTTGGCTGTACAGTACCGTAAAAACACATGCAGGTATACATTAAAAAAATTAAATTATACATATTACTCTCATTAAAACTCAATATCAAAGGAGAAGTAAAGCTGACAAAATGTACATTTACATCAGATGCATCATTCAACCACATGCAGGAATTAAAATACTAGAGCTTTGGAGTTTTATACAGATACATACTCTAAGGCCGGTCCCAGAGTGGTTCTGAAGGTCTGACCTGTCTGGCCTTGTGCACGCTGTGTGCGTGTCAGCATAGCTGCACTGTGGGTTGGTGCCTGTGTCTCAGCGAGTGCAAGGCACACTCGCTGTGTGTCAGCACTGCCGCACTGTGTGTTGATGTGTGTAGGTGTGCAACTGACGGGTCTGCCT